ACTGGGCACGTGTTACAGTGCTCGGGACATTTCGATTCCCTACACATAAAGACTGGTCTTTGCCAAGAGGCCATCCTGAGCCCTTTTATTTTCTGTCTACATGCTCTACCTGGGGGGAGGGGATTTTATACCTGTTCTTACGGCTTTGACGTCCTCCTCTGGGCAAGTGTGTCTCACACCTTTATCTCCAGCCCCTACATCTCACCTGAGTTTCCAACCCATATTGCCCACTGCTCCTAGATATGTTTTTCTAGACCTCTTGAAGGCTTCTTAAATTCAACAAGTCCTAAAATACACTCTCCTCTGTCCCTCTCCAAATCAGTCTCTGCCACCCTCTCCACAAATTTTACCCCACTCCACAAGCAGGTCAATATTTCCACCATCTATTATCACCTTCCCTAAAACAAACAAACAAACAAACAAACAACGACTCTGGGTCATCCTCTAATTCCCAATCTCGCCTGAGTCAGACACTAGTATTTTTAGGTTCTGCCTCAAAACAGCGTGCCTTCTCTCCGCCATCACCATTGCCACCACCTTGTTCAAGCTCCCATCATCTCCCACCTGGACAACGGCCACAGCTGCCTGGCCTCCTCCCTGCAGCTCTGCTTCCCATGACAGTGTTATCGTCCTAAAAATAGCCTTGAGCATGGTGCTCCCCTGTGTTAAAGCCTTAGTGGTACAGCCCACAGGAGACAAACTGAAACTTGTCAGCCAGGCACTTAAGATGCTTCACCATCTGGCCCCAATATATCACCATCTGGCCACCTGAGCACCTTCGGGCTTTGATGAACTTGGGCACCTTCATACTCTCTCCCTTTTGCTTTATCCTTTACCTCTCAAAGCCCTACTGGTACAGTAACACTCAGCTCCCAGGATGCCTTCGCTGACTCAACAAACATCACTCCCTCCTTGTTTGTCTCCAGCACACCTGACACATGAATCTTTTGCCATTGTTGATATGCATGCAAGACACCTCCTTAACCAGAAAGGGGACCTTGAAGACAAAACGGCCTTTCTCTCTGCACCCAGCACAGAGAAAGCCTGGGTGGCTGTTAACTGAATCAAGAAGAGCAAAGTACTTATAAACAACAGGATGAAGCCCAGAACAACTAGTACACCTCATTGAACAACCATAAAATGGGAAAGGAAAAAATAACGGGGGTAGCTAAGAAATAGGAAGAGGGGATGCCAAAACGGAGAAACTGAGTTTCCTTATATGGAAGGAAAGAAAAGTTCCTGTTTTTGCTTTAATGATAGTAAATAAATATAGAAACATGCTATTTTTAGCACTAAGAGAATTCAAAAGTTTGTTCACCTTTAAAATTTGTTGAAAAGTGAAAAGGGGAAAACATTCTATAAAACAGAAGGTATAAATAGAGACAAGTAATATAAAAATTAAGAACTTAATTATACACAGAAAACATACAAATGAAATATCAACCACAAATTAAAGAGGATAAATTTATCCATAGTTAGAGAATCTTCAAGGTTAGATGAACAGAAGACAAAATCAACAGTATTTTGCTTGCAAGATATAACAAAAGTAGAAAATGTACCAAAATCACTAAACAAGAAATCTATAGACTGAAAAAAAAAGAATAGAGGACAAGCATTGCTTTAAATATTATCAAAAAACAAAAACTAAACATGCAACAAATAATCTTGAGAAACAACCAATCAAAAAGAAAAAAAAAAAAAGAAAAGAAAAAAACCTAGAGGAACTTTTTTAAGAAGAAAGGAATTAAATATTTGAAAGCAAAACCCCAAATATTTTGGAAGGACCACAAGAAAAGGAACTGTCGGGAGGTGCTGCCTATGAAAGGGGAACGGATTGCCTGAGGAACAGGAATTGAAAACTGACTTTTCACAATCTCCTTTGGTCCTTTTAAAGTTTTATAGTTCAACTAAAAGTTTTTGTGAAGAGACTAAAAATGATGGTACTGGTCAATTTAATTACAAAAAAGGAGGAAATGAAGTTGGGAAAATAGGACATTAAAAGAGGCAATAAAACTGTAGGGGAATACTATGTATGCCTTAATAAATTTGGATAAAACTAAATAGATGGATTTTTCTACTAAAAATGTAAAACTGTAACATTGGCAAAAATAAAATACCTAACTAGACCAACATCTCTAAAATAAAATTAAAAAACTACACCCCACAAAAACAAGTCTCTGTTTATTAGTGAATCCTTTCAGACATTACAGAAACTATTCACATCATAAAAATCATGCCTAAAATAGGTCAAGATATAGGTTACTAGTTTATTCTACCAACCTGATCTAAAAACTAGCTAAATAAAATGGAAAGAGAGAAAACTATAGACAAAGCTTACTTATAATTCATGCTTGAAAATTTAAAAGAAAATAATAGTAAATAGAATCCAGAAATAGGTTAAAATTTTTTATAGTGTCATGTCCACAGATCCCAAAAATTCATATGTTAAAATCCAACACCTATTGGTAGTTTAAAAATTCTAAAACTAATAATAAAGATATACTTTTTTACATTATTAAAGTATCTACTTAAAACTAATTGCCAATATTATACTTTGAGGAAGAAGTGAGCCATGCAGTCATTAAAAATATGCACAAATTGAAGAAGCATTTTATCACTGTTAGTTAATATAGTATCAGAAATTCCTTCCAAAACAAAGTAACATGAAAACAAGTAAGAAATACAAATGTGGTAAAGGCAGAGGAAAAATGTTTTGATATATAACACCACTGTATACTTATAAACCCAAAGGAATCACTTAAACGGCTATGATGACTTTGAAGTGACCAGAGTCATCACTAATATAGAAAAATCAATAGTATCTCTAGTCCTCAAACTTGACCAGACATGAAAATTACCCAGGCAGCTTTTTAACATGCCAAAGCCTACACCCCACCCCAGAAAAATTGCCTCAGAATCTCTAGGGGTGGGACCAGGCATTAGTATTTTATAAAGTTTTTGAGGTGATTCTAGTGCACAGTCAAGTAGAAATACCACCACTACATGTTTAATCATTTAAATATCAAAATATGCAATGCAGAGAAGTGTAACCAATCATGATATTCACAAATGGGAAGAGAAAGACTGCTGTAAGGAAACAGGAGTTCAAAAGAAGAAGCCTGAAAGGGAATAGAGGTGGCTGCTGTGCAAATGTCTCCAGTCCACAGCAGTTTGGGCAAAGAAGTGAGCAGTTGCCCAGCTTCTTAGAGGGGGACATGACGCATGGCCACACAAAATGATGGCAGCAATTAGTCTCCGTACAAGAGCTACTGAGATAGAAAGTGTGCATGAGTCTTTTTTTTTTAAGCTGAGCCATCCTGCCACCTGTTGGCAGCTCAGCAGCAGCTTAGCTCAGGCCAGGAATTGAACCGGCAACACTGTTGCTCAGAGCTTACACCCTTGAGCAAGCTCTTAACCAACTGAGCCACTCGGCCGGACCCCATGAGGTTTAATAGAGGCTGCGGTGGTACAGGGTTACCCGCATACTTGTGTGAGGTTATATAATTTCTAGAAATGCAACTGCTGAGTCAAATGGTATGTGCCTTTAAAAGTGAAAGATTAATTTTTAAAGATCCTAAAGGTGAGACAGAAGAAACCTGATGTGTAGATAATAAACAAAACATCATACTTAATAGGTAGGATTGGAGTGGGAGACAAACAGGGAAGCTGGGGGTAGACAAGATGGCTCAGTGTTGCGAGGTAGGAGGCACAGAGACTGACATACAGGAAACTCCTGGTGATTCCAATCTCGCTTTGCCCTTCCCATTAACTTAGCCCCCACAGCAGAAACCTGGAGAAGGAAGGCGGGAACCATGTGGCTATGTGTGAGGCGTTTTGAGGCAGGAGTCAGTGTGAACATGAGCATGAAAAAATGTGTGTACGAGTTTACTTGTAAATCAACTTGTCTTGTGCCATTTTTAGTTTAGAGGATTGATACACAAGACTGCTGAATAGTTTTTACTCAACCTGATGACTCAAAGCTAAAGAATGAGCAAGCTGAAACATATCATATATCCAACAGTAAGTAGCCCTGCTGCAATCCACCATGAGACAGGAAGTTCCAGAAGCAACCATTGTGGGAAAAGTCCCATGGGCTGGGTGGCCCCAGGCTTGTGGAGAAGCAGTGAGGTTGCCATGTCGAAGTCAGGGTGCTGTGCACAGAATGTCCAGCACTATGTGCCACTGAGGACTCTGACTCCATGTCCTCCCCTTTCTTTCCAAAAATTTCTACTCAGCATTCTGGATGGAAAAAGGCTCTTAACTTACAATGAAAAGCAGTGTAATAGATTTCCTTGATTTAAAAAACTTTGACAACCACCAACGAAAAACCCCCAAGTCTAAGCTTGCGAATGGCTGACTAAAAGACTCAACAGGGTTCCCAACTCAAATATAATAAATAAAGAAAACTTTACTAGGGCACATCAAGTAAAGACTATGTCTGTTTACACTGATTAGTTGCCGGTCTGCTTTGTGTTTACTATGAAATTTAGCATTGAAAAATGTTTCCTATTCCTGGGGGCAGTGCTGCACATCTTGTAGAACACAGCTTGGAAAACTGATATTCAAATTAGTGTAAATGATATTCAAATTAGTGTTCTAGTTTTTTAAGTCAGACATTTAATTAAGCAGAAGTGTAAGTTTTGCACTCAGACTAAAAGCTGACCTTATGCTAAACCGCACACCACAGACACAAAACAGACAATCCTACGTTTATAATACTCAATGGTCAACCTAAGATACGAGTATAACAGGTTCCTATCAAGTGATCTAAATCACCTAAGTTGCATATTTAATGCAGATTTTTAGATTAATCCAAAAAAGAATCATTTAATCAAAGAGCTCAGCAATAAAAACTGAGAGAGGAGAAAATAAAGAATGTTTAACAGCAATACAAAGATGAAATATGGCTATAAAGAGTTAGGCATTACGAAAGTATGGTAATTGTTATGACAAGAAACTTGCTAAACTTCAGAAGCATGCTATTTACCTGGGAAACATACTTTTTGCTTACTTCATTAGTTTCTCCAGTTTCTCTCTTCGCTTTATGCAGCCCCATATGCATCTTTAAAAGTTCACTTATTGCTTCTGCGTTGCAATTCAGTCCTATAAAAGAAGCAGCATAGCATCACTTAATGAGAAGAGAGTTTACTCTTTTCCTTAATGAGAAAAGTATATTCTAGGAAGCTGAATTATCCAATCTCATCAATCACCTTTCCTAATTCATTTTCACCAGAAACTATACACAAACAGAAAAACCAAGGGGGTGGGGCGAATAAACAGAGGTCATTAAAATACAAACTAGCAATTTAAAACTATTGAAAATGCTAGGAGAAACTGAAAAATATAAATGAAAATAAGGCCAACTAAGCTGTCTCTGATAATAGATCAGAGCAAGATGATTCATTAAAATCTTTAACACTCTTTCCACCAATGAGTTTCCCTCTCTTCCTCCTAGCTAAGTTTAAGATGGCTTAGCAGAAATAATACACTAACTGATGTGTATGTTACGTACAGCTTCGAGGATTCACACCATTAAGGATGAGCTATTTTCTGAAGCTCTTCCATTCACAGCCCTGGGGTTTCCTGGCACGGATTCTAGGGGTACCAAAAATGGTCTAGGCCAGGGGTCGGCAAACTGCGGTTCGCGAGCCATATGCAGCTCTTTGGGTACATACATGTGGCTCTGAAGTAAAATGGAAAATGAAAATAAAACCATCACAGTTTCATTTATAAAAATTTTAAGGGATATTCTTCACATAATGGTGATTTCATTTTGTTTATGGCTCTCAAATACTTTTTAAATTGTTTTGAGGGACAGGATTGGCTCTTCCGTCTCAAAAGTCTGCCGACCTCTGTTCTAGGCTGTGAGTTCCAGGCCAAAGAACTATGTTATCTTCATCTCTGTCTCTGACCCTTACCCCTATGTTGTGCCCTTCTGCCCAGTGCCAATGATGGGCACACAGTAACTCTTGGTGAATGAATGAGACAGTAATTATGTTTTCAACAAACCACCAGAGGTGCTGGGATCTTAAAATTACTTGTGAAGCAGTTGAAAAACCACTGCTTTGGAGTTCTTTACTTCTTTCCTAAAGCATTCTGTTTGGTTGAGGTGCCCGTTAGCAGTAAAAAGGCCCTAGAGAGAGTATAGCGGGGGTGCTCAGAACCTCAAACAGAAGAGAGCATCAGTGCACTAGAAAGGGTCAGGACTATGAGCATCTGTGACTGTAAACAAGTCTGCCCCTCAGAAAAGCACCCCTTATCAAAGTAGCTCTCTCCTATTTATCTTACACCATCATTCTGTCTTTAACATACACACAGCCAGCTTTGCTTCTGTCGGCCACTGTTCTGAGAGCTTCAACTGCATTAACTAATTCAATCTTCATAACAACCCTATGAGGTGGGTTCTGTTCTTCTAATTGCCCAGATGAGGAAACAGGCGCAGAAAGGCTAAGTCAATTGTGTGAGGAAGCGTATGCAGGGGCTCTGGGCCCCCACAATCTCGCAGTAAGCTGCAGTCTCACCCACCCCCTGCACGTCCTTTTGCTGTCATGGGATAGGACAGTAGCTTCATGTCTAGTAAAGTTCGCTCATGTTGGAAAATTTCTCTAGTTAATATTTTACTGAAAAGCTTAACTTTTAATTCTCCACAACTTAAAAACTGACCTTTTCTTATTTTAAAAAATGATCCGGTGCACATCACAAGAAGGAAATCTTGATTTCACGGAAGTCGGAGGCAATAGTTCCTTTAAGGTGAACACCTGTTCACATTCACCCGCTACTTCAGCTTGTTATATTTATTCCAGATATTCTGCTGTGCTTACCAGATTCCTTCTACCTTTATAATCACAAAGCCCTCGCTCAAGCAAGCCACTTCTTTTACTCTAATTCGGTTGACTGGCGCATGCTAATGATGCCAAAGGCTGCCAGTTCAATCCACTACAAACCAGCTTGCTTTGTTTGCTTCATGTCTACAAATCGTCACCTGGATGGCATGTTTTGGGTGATAAGAGGAGCCAAATGAGAGTGTGCAGGACACCAAGCAAAAATAACACTTGCAGGAGAAACCCGTCCGCAGGTAACACAGAGGCAGAGGCATGAACTTCATTCAGAAAGAAAAGTTTCGTGATCACTGGCAAAGCACGTCTACCTTTCTGAGGCTCTGTCTTCTCAATCTCAGGACATTAGCCAGAATCTAACCCAAAGACCCTCCTTCAAAAAACAAAACAGGTGTAAGATAGAAATAAGAAATTAAGGTTTTTAGTTTTTGCACAAACTTGCTTAAATGATCTGAAAACTGAATTTTTTATTCTTGACACCAATTCTCACTGTCAATAAAAAGCACTTGTGAGGGTTTTAGAAAGTGTCACAAAACTAGCAGTGCAGTACAGCAAACCATCAGAAAAACCTCACTGCAATTCCACATGTATATCCTAGATTCTTCAAAAGCTACTATTTATTTTCATAAAAATAAAAGCTGCTCCATCTCCAAGTAATACGAAGTTATTTAAAACAGGCTTTTTCAAATTAAAAGAAACCAATCAGTATCAGTCTAGATCATATTTTAACATAACCCAGGGGGGGCCGGCCAAATGGCTCGTTGGTTAAGAGTTGGCTTGGGAGTGCGGGCTCTGAGCAGCATGGCCGCTGGTTCGGATCCCACATTAGGACCAGTGACACTGCCCTCTACAGCTAAGATGGTGAACAACAGCTCGAGCTGGGCTGCAGTGAGCTACCATGAGCAGCCGTCCAATGGCCGGCAAGCGACTGCCTCACCTGGGAAGAGCGCAATGATCACCATACCAACATGGGCCAGTGAGGTGACGTCCTCCACAACTATTGGGTTGTAGGAAAAGTCATGACATATTTTTTCTATGCTTTTCGTTGCAAAAATGCATCATGACTTTTCCGACAACCCAATAGACTAAAGAACAAAAGGACAGCAACTTGTCTGTTCCCCTTCCCGATTCCCCACCACTGTTCCCCTCCCCCAATTCCCAATAAAATCTTTAAAAACAAACAAACAAACAAACTAAAAAACATAACCCAGGGCCCATTTAAGGTAGAAGTTTTACCAGCTATAAAGACAAAAAAAGCAAAACTATATTCCTTAATTGTTATTTTGGAGAGACACCCACTTGGGATCATCCAACTTCAAGTTTTCCTGCCCACAGGTACCAAAGAACTTTCCCAATGTACTAATGCTATGAAGCGCATGGGTTCCAACAGTAACAAGGTAACTATGACAACAAAGCCACAGCTATTTATGATATCACAAACTCTATATGATGTAAGTTTTACAAATTGAGGTGAAATTCACTTGACATAAAATTCACCATTTTAAAGTATACAACTCAGCGGCATTTAGTACATTCACAATGTTTTGCAATTGTCACTTCTACCTGGTTCCAAAACATGTTAGTCTCGCCACAATGAAACCTTGACCTCGTCAAAGCAGTCACTACCATCCGCCCTGCTCCAGCCCCTGGCAGCCACTAACATGCTTTATTGTCTTTGTGGGTTTACCTTTTCAGATATTTCATATAAATGCAATCATACAATATGTGGCCTTTTGTGTCAGACCTTCTTTTACTTGGCATGATGTTCTGAGATTCTTCTACATTGCAGCATGTATCAGTACTTCATTCCTTTTGATGGCTGAAAAATCTTCCATTGTATGAATACATCACATTTTGTCCATCCACTCATCCATTGATGGACATTTGGGTTGTTTCCACCTTTTGGCAATGGTGAATAGTGCTGCTATGAACATCGGTGTACAAGTATTTGTTTGAATACCTGTCTTCAATTATTATGGGTATAGACATAGTAGAATTGCTGCATTATATGGTAATTTTATATTTAAGTTTTTGAGGAATCGACAAACTATCTTCCACAGTGACTACACCATTTTACATTTCTCACCAGCAAAGCATGAGGGTTCCAATTTTTCTGCATCCTCACCAACACTTTTTATTTTTTGTTTGTTTGGGTGTTTTAAAATTATAGCCATCCTATGGGTGTGAAGTGGTATTGCATTGCAGTTCTGATTTGCATTTCCTTATGACGAATGATACTGAACGTCTTTTCATGTTTGTTGCCCATTTGTATATGTGCATCTTCTTTGGAGAAATGTCCAATCAAGTCTTTGCCTGTATTTTAATTGGGTTGTTTGCCTTTTGTTGTTGAGTTGTCAGAGGTTTTTGTTTTTTTGTGGTTTTTTAAAAAACATATTATGAATCATGGGTCCTTATCAGGTTTGAAAATCACGTTCTCCCATTCTGTAGATTGTCTTCCCAGTTTCTTTCTTTTTTTTTTTGCACTGTGCAACCCGCTTCAGTGCCTGCAGCCTACGGGCAGAGGCCAGGCAATGGTTTGGGGCCACAGTTTGCTCTAGCATGGGGCACTATGAGAGGTTCAGGGGGATGGACCTGCTATAAATCCAAACCCATGCATCCCAGTTTCTTAATAGTGTCCTTTGCTACACAAAAATTTTAAGCTTTGATGAAGTCCAATTTATCTATTTTTGTGGTTGTTGTTGCTTGTGCTTTTGATGTCATTTCTAAGAATCCATTGCCAAATCCAAGGTCATGAATATTTAGCCTTATGCTTTCTTCTAAGAGTTTTGGCTCTTATGATCCATTTTGAGTTCATTTTAGTATATGGTATGAGATTGGGATCCAGCTTTACCCTTTTGTATGTGGATATCCAGTTGTCCCAGAACCATTTGTTGAAGAAATTGTCCTTTCCCCCCATTAAATGGTCTTGGCATCCTTATCAAAAATCAATTGCAATGGACTCTCAATTCCATCCTATTAATCCATATGTCTATCTTTATGCTAGTACCATACTATTTTGATTATTGTAGCTTTTTAAAATTGGGAAGCATGAGTCTTCCAGCTTTATTTTTCAAGACTGTTTTACTATTCAGTTCTGTGCAATTCCATATGGATTTTAGGATCAACTTTTCCATTTCTGCAAAAGAGGCTGCCAGGGTTTTGGTAGAGATTACATTGAATTTGTAGATTGTTTTGGGTAATAATGCCATCTTTATAATATCAAGTGTTCCAAACCATGAACATGCGATATCTTTCCATTCTGTGGTG